AACGTGTCCGTGTCCTAATTTTTTAGGAATTGACGTATCGCCGTGTCCTATCGTGTCCGTGTCCGTGTCCCGTATCCGTGTCCGTGCTTCTTAGGCTCTAGATGTAGGGTCATTTTGAAGAGCCCTAGGTTCTCATTTCTTAGTCATAGACTTAGTCCATACTTGTGCAGAAGTTTCTAATGTGTCGTGTCTGTAGATTTGTGTAATTTTATGAAGATGGCCGCATGACCATTCAATGGTGAGTCTTCGAAAAATGGGTTATTGTAATGGATTTTTTTTTGTTAATTATTATTTTTTGTATAAATTTGTAACAGATTATGGATATCAAAATTGTATCTGAAGAGCTATGTTACTCCCTGTCGATGCTTATGTGCAATTGTATGTTGTTCCCGTGGAATTTTGAAGCTTTTTTTATCCATTCTCATGATAAACTTACAATAAGTATGGGTGCACTTTTTGATGGCCACAAAAATGGTCATTAGTTCTCATCCGTACATGGGCTTAATGTGAAACCTAGGAGGCAAAGTATTACCATAAGCAATGAGCCTCTGTTCTTGCACCATCACATCCCATAGTCCTTGTCTGTGATGCATCAGTTTCCAATATAAATGGTACATCAAGATTAGGGAAAGCCAAGCAAGATAGGCAATGATGCCATGACTTTGTATAGGTCCCGACCAAAAACATCTTTTTTTTTTTTTTGATATCCGTGAGTGTCCGGACCAGCTTACGCGCACTTCGACTAATCTCACGGGGTAATCGCCTTACCCTACAATATTTGGTGTCGGGAAACATATAGGAATTACTAATTCCTAAAGTAGGTGGCAATCATGAGATTTGAATCCATTCCCTATTAATTACCCTAGCCATTTTGGACCAATGAGTCACCCATGATGGTTCGACCAAAAAACATCTTTCCACAATTGCATTGTGGGTGCCAAGCAAATATTCGATTTTTTGGACATACTTTCAGTTTATATATATTGGCTCGTCTATTAAAGATTTTATTATTATATTATTATTTTTATAATTGGCCTCTCTATTATAAAATTGACAAGGTTCTTCCTTGTATGGATTTCTTTTCAATATACTGAAATCGATCCTCCGTATGTTTTTTTTCTTAATATTTTTTTGTCCTTTTTTAACCTGAACTTAGTTTTGGGAATTTCTTAGATATTTTTTTTCTACTCGTCTTTTTAAATTCATCATTCTAATTTGTTTTTTCAAATTTGGAACTTTTTTTTGGTTCTTTTTGGATCTTCATTTAATTTGTTACTTTATATTGACATTTTTATTTATTAAATATTGTTGATTTAAGGGTGAATGTTGTTATTAAATAGTGTACAGTTTCTTGCCCTACTTAAACTTCATGACCAAATCCCTCCTGTCCACACCACTGGATTAATGAGAGTTTTGTGATCCCTGAACTACTCCATTACTGTTTTTTGTTCGATTTATTTAATCTTCCTCTTTTGTAACCATCCTTTCTAACACTCTCTCATGTGCGCTTATTTGGATAATCTCTTGCTTGGTGCTTGGGTTCCACATCTTAAGCCTGGATTTAGTAAACCTAAGGGTTTAAGTGGAGGGTTTAGGAAGCTTGGTTTAAGAAAATGTGTTTGGTTAAAGCTTTGGATAATTGTGTGTGAGAAGCTTGAACAGTGGTGGGTTTTGCCAAGGTAAATCCGAGCTTGGAAAACCATGGCAACAAATTTGAGTTAGGTTTAGGAAGCAAACCCACTCCCTAGATGCCTCCTTAGGCTTTCTAGTTTGAATTGGATTTCATAGTCCCATTTCCTGTTGCACAACGTGCATCGTCTTATTTGGTTACAACAATGCGTATATTGCTAAAAAGAAATGAATGGTTTTCTTTCTGTCTTGGATCCAAGTAAATTACAGGTCTGCCCAACAACCTAGTCGTCGGGCAATGCAATGCTTATATAAATTTTAGTCGTATGGTCCAGCACTTGATGTAGTGTAAACTCGGTGCATCAATGCTCCTTTTCTCTTCTAATAGTGTAATCTTCTTTCCTCTTCAGGCTAAAAATTTTATTTTGGATCCCTTTGCTTGCATAGTCTACAGACTCAAACCTTACATATTTTGATTTTGTTAGTATGGAAATTCAAGTTATGTAAGCTTCAACATGTTAGGTTAGGTAAATTTACTTTTTTGCTTCCAAAACAACTGATGGAACTGTAGAATCAAATACTTGATATGATGCTGAAGTAGTTTTGCAAGCAGAATAAATCTGCATTCATGGGTGACTTCTACAAGCGGAGGCAACCGTAGTAGTGTCGTAGTGTGTCTATGCAGGAGGAACAATAGAAGAAGAGGGGAGAGAGAGCAGAAACTTGATGGTACCCGAAATTTATTTATAGAACGTACTAACTACTAATCTGTAATGGCCTATTGGACTCATGGGATTTGAGGCTCCTCCCTTCATAATTCTCTTGTTGTCATGATTTATGTTTCTTAAAGGGCGAATTGCACTAGAGTGCAATAATCCTCTTGAGCTCAGAATTGGAGAAAAAACTCATTTTTTTTAAGCACACGATAGAAAAACCCAGTTGGCAAAGGCTTGGGGTCTCTTGATCATATTAGTTTAGAGATCTCAAGTTCGAACATTCTGGTGAGCTTAATACCAAAAACCCTTGATATCTCCCGGGTCCGGACCTTGGGGCGAGTGCGGGTGTCCCTTGGTATAGGGGAGCTAAGCTCCGACTACTGGTCATAAAAAAAAAAAAACGAAAGAAAGAAAAACACGAATAAAATTTTATATATGAAATCATAGTGTAATAAGTAACAAGATTATATAAAATTCAAGTAACGAAGGTTTCTGTGGAGAAACAAGAAATTTTGTGGCATTTTTGTAAGGAATAAAGATCAGCAATTTGTGCCAAAGGCACTTAGAGGTGCACTTTCTAAACTTTTGGTCATGTGCGTTTTCTTTATCATCCTTGCTTAGAATTACTTGTTTCTCTACATGAAATACTTGTTTGACGGTAGAGTACCAGATGTTTTTTAAATTCGTACAGAAATTTTAAGCACTGCAGGTTGATAATGCATGTTATAAACTCTCTGGCAGGTTACTCCAACAGCTCATTTTCAAAATGATCTAGGATTGGACAGTTTAGATACTGTGGAGGTTGTGATGGCTCTTGAAGAAGAGTTTCGGTTTGAAATTCCCGACAACGAAGCGGACAAAATCAACACTATCAATCTTGCTGTTGATTTTATTGCCTCTCACCCTCAAGCAAAATAGACGAAGGCAGCTTTCACTCAGGTTTCTCCTATTTCTATGAGAATTTAGATGCTGTAAGATTTCCCTTATTTGTCTCCTTGTATTTTTGTTGCCGTTTCCGTTTGTCTTTCTAAATCTTTATTCAAACCCTGACTGAGAATTGATACTGGCTGAGCCAGCTTCTAGCCGCATAAATTGAGGCGAACTCTTATTGGCTTTCATCATGAATCGACCTTGCCTATATTTCAATAATGATTTTATAAGCTTTTAGAGAAAAGTTCACCTTTTGTTCTTTGAGTGAGTCAATTTTAATCCTATAAATAAAATTGAACTCTAAACTTAGATAAATGTTTGAAATTAATATCTTCAATCAGACCATTAGTTAAGTTTCTATTATCATGAAGATTTGTGGGTGCTTTTGTGGCTGGATGAGTTTATTTTTGTGGGTATTGATTTTTTTTTATTAGTACAACATGTGAGGTGGGAATCGAATTCACAATCTTTTGATTGGAGATATATGTCAATTACCACTGAGTTATGCTCGCTTTGACTGTTGTTGTTGTTGGTATGTTAGATGCTTCTTATCTAGGTGTAGGCATTTTGTTTATAAGAGTATTGTTTAATGTGATTTTAGGGGTTGGGTATTTGTGCAGTTCGGTCCGTGCATATAGATATTAATTTTACCCCTTATTCAAGTTTAGGGGCAATTTGTAAACAAATACAAGAATGATATAGAGCATTAATTCAAAATTATCTTCATTCATTCCCTTCAAGAATTGCCAAAATATTTGATTCTCCAATATAAAGAATTAGTCTCTGTTTGAAAATAAATGAATTGCTCCGGTAGGACATTGTTCTCATCAAACTTAAACCTAATTAAAACCAAGAATTCGGACAATTTTGTCCTCCCCTTTGTTGAAGTCTAAGTAAAGAGACCTAAAGGAAGTAAGGTTTTGATCCATAAATTTTTCTACCATTCATGTATTATTGATCGGGAGGAGATTTTCATCTCTTGTCCATTCTTTCGTGGTTTTTTGTTTTATCTTCCATTATTTTGTAATCTTGTTTTATCTTCCATTCTTTTGTAATCAATCGTATTAGTAGTTTGGTTAAATTACAAGTTTAGTTCTTTGAGAGTTCTATTTAGGTCTCTAACACCAAAATTTTTAATATTGTCTATTAGATTCTTAAACTTAAAAAAAGTGTATATTACGCTGCTAAACTTTTAATTTTGTATTTAGTAGCAAAATTTAGGGAGTTGTTAGACACAAAATTAAATGATGAAAGGACTTGTTTAGATACAAAATTCAAGTTGTTGAATATTAAAAATTGTCTAATAGGTAGGGGAAATTGGGGTTTCTTACTCCATTTTATAATTCATTCGGATTTTTGACCCCTTCCCGAAGAAAACTTTTATTTGTGATCCCCATTCTATTTTTTTTTATCCCTTTTTACTTTTTGCCTTTGTAAAATTACCAAAATAGTTTCATTTAAAAAAAAAAGAGTAAAAGTCTCTCCAATTTTGGTTCCCTCCACCAATCTCTCACCTTAAACCTCATACTATTTTTTTTAATTTAAATCTAATATAGAAAAAATATCAATATTTTAATTTAAGAATCAATTACGGAACCAACAATAAAAATTTGCCAAAAATTCTCCAATAACTCAATTGCAAATAGAACCCACAAAAAGTCCCCAATAACCAAACTAAAAGAAGAAAGACCAAAACAAAATAAAACATGTACAAGAGAAGAAACCGATCATGAGAGAGAGGGAGATAAGTCTTACCGGAAGTTGCTTGGGAGGTGTGAGCAATTTTCTACCTTAGCATAAACCCATCTAAAACCTCGTCAGCATTCATACCAAAAAAAAAAAAAAAACGAAGAAAAAAATGAATTACCTGAATTCTGACCCGGGATTGCACAATCTTGTCTTGGGATGGCAATAAATCATATCCGGGCCGAAATTCATGCAACTTCAGTTTTTCTTTTTTTAATATTGGGTATTTATTCTTATTCGATTCTTAAATTAAAATGTTGAGATTTTTTTCATATTAGATTCAAATTAAATTAAAGGTGAGATTGGTAGACGGAAGCAAGATTGTGGAGATTTTTGTTTTTGTTATTTATTTATTTTTGTAAAGGGGATATTTTGGTCATCTTACATGTGCAAAATGTGGAAAAGAATAATTAGACAAATGGTAAAAAATCCAACTTGATTATATCCCATTACCATAGAATCTATTAGATACCAAATAAAAAAAATTAAGGATTTATTATGTACTTTTAAAAGTTTTAGGGACAAATTTGGAACCTATTAGACATAACTTGTAATTGTAACTTTTTCTTATATGCAAAGAGTACATGTTTTATTTTTATTTTATATATATATATTTTTTTGTGACGATAAACAGATAGTACATATTAATTACTAATTAATGGTGTACTATGATTCTCGGTAATAAAAATAACAACATATGCTGTTAATTATTAATGACATCTCAGTGAAAGTTTATCTTCAGTATACTAGTCGGTGTTCTTTTTGGATTACTCAGGATTCGTTTGGTAACACGTTCATGTCTATTATTTATCGTTTCTAATTTTGTTAAAAAACTTAATCATTTGACAGCTATTTATGTTTTTTATTTTTTATCTTTTAGAAACATTACTTTTAAGTAATTTATTTTCTAAAAATAACATAAAACAACCCGTCTTTTTAAAAATATTTTGGTTATAAATATATAGTTAATGTATAAAATATAATTTTATTAATGCTTCGATTAAAATATGAACAATAGTGGAGTAAAATTATCCACATTCATGAGTTTTTACGCCAGAACTATGGTCGCATATGCGACATGCAAATGTTCTACCTCCACGTAGGGCCAAATATTAATGTAAAAATTATAATATTTGTCATATCTATAGTAAGAGCATAATTAAATTCTTTTAAAAGTTTAAAGATTAAATATCCACAATCATTCTCACAAAAAAAAAATAATAATAATAAAAATAAAAATAAAAACCAACCTTAATTGGTTAAGCAGGAGATTACATTTGGATTTTGGCCTCTAAAGTTTTAGATTTGATTTTTATAAGACCTTTATGATCTTAATAGCATTGTTTTAGTGTTGAGATTTAATAAATAGTTGCTAAAATGTGTCGATAGCCAAGTTGATGAAATAAACCATTTTTAAGAAAAAATTTATAATAATGTAACCCGAATTTTAAAGATGACAATTTTGTCCTTAAATTTGTAACACTTTAGTCTTTTTCGTGAAAAATCTCATCAAATTTAAGTATTTATTTTTATCATATAATAATTCAATCCTTGTAATTTCTAAATACATTTGGTCTCTCATCAATCTATCAATCTACATATTAATAAAAAATTTCACGATAAAAACAAAATTGTTACAAAGTCTAAACTATAAGGACTAAATTGTTACACAATAAAGTTTAGGAATTAAATTATTACAAAACTTTAAAACTATAATTAAATTTCAAAAACTAAACATTACTTCAATGAAAGTACAACGACCAAAAATATTTTTTAACAAAAATAAAAATATAACCTTAGTAATGAGAAGTATTAATTTAGGTAGAACCTTATGTAGACTACAGAACTATAATCCATAGAAGTATGAATTGCTTCCCTCATGCATCATTTAAAGCAAAATAATTTTCAGAACATGTAGCAATTGTGATTGTCCATATTCAAATGTCTCTGTCCCAAACATTTATATACAGAATCATTTCCAGATCGTTGGAGGAAGAAGAATATTGTTGAATTGCTTCTTCCTTAGAAATTAACACAGTACTCAAAAATCCTTAAATTAATAGAGTAAAAATCAATAATGGGTCGTGGATAATACTATTCCTTGCATCATATTATTAGAATTCACGAAGAAGAGAAGAGAGGAGAATTCTCAGCTGGATCTTACAGCTTCAATAGCATGGACCAAATCATCAAACTTTGCCCCTGTTACTTCTTTAACAACCTTATTATCCTTTAGAATTTTGAAAGTCGGCACCACTTTTATGCCTAGTTCCTTTGCCAATGGCTGCCAAATAAATCACCATGAGAGAAAGAGCTCTAGTTTTCTTGTATGATCTCCTGTATGAATTATGCACATACATTCCTAAGCTCCAGCAAGAGTACAGATGATGAAACTAACCTTATTGTCTTGGTTGCAATCAAGCTTTAAGAAGACGACATCGAGGTATTTCTCTGACAATTCTTGAAATTTTGGGGCCATTACTCTGCAGGGTCCACACCTTCAGTGTAGTATTTAAGAACGAATCAAAGAAGTTTGTTAAGACGTTAAATTTGGGAGTTTGAAAACAGAGACAATAAAAGTAATGAACCTAAAATTTGATCAACAATAATTGACATTTACTCATTCCCTTGACGTCGAAGGTTCAAATCTCCCTACTCCACATTTTTCTTACTAAAAGAAAATTAATTAGTGATTAGTGTAGCATAGAGTCTGAAATTGCACAGAAAAACAAGGAAAAGTTGAATTATTTGTGCAAACCGAGCATATGCTCAAATAGAAGTCAGAGATAGGTGCCTTAACCATTTGAGCTATGCTCGGTTGATCTGTTATAATTCAACTTCTATTTGTAACTGTAATATGATCTAAGTCTATTTATTAGACTGAAATTCATTAATGAGAAGTGTGCAGATTTTATTTACTCTCATGGCTCAATCTTTTACTTGTATCTTATTGGCATACATAAGCTATTATGTTGTGTTTCTAGATGGCCATTCTCTCATTCTTCTCTCAAAATATCTTTCCCAAAATTCAGGCATCAACTAACCACTTAAGAGTTCCACCAATACAGAAAAGACTTCATCACAAAATGGCTATAGTCTGATGAAGCAAAATAGGCTAAAAGGAAAGACATTACATTCAAAATTGGAAAGGAAACACGCAAACAGCAGCTTGTATCATAACTTCAATTTTAGTTCTAAACATCATTGTTTAGGTAATCAAATCTTGCTTGACAATGATGAGTTTAAATAAAACTTGATTAGAAAGTAGCTAGAATACCCATTATGAATTGCCTTGAACTAATTTACCAGGTCCTTCAATTGTTAATCTTGTTATGAAATTTCAGCTATTAGGCTTATTAATTTGGTTCAGTCAGAGATTTGAACCCAAAATGCTATAAATCTCAAAGCTAAGCCCAGTTTTCTAGTCCTCATTATTATCTAAAAATGAAAAAGAAACTGTCTTCCCATGATTTCTTTAACCAAAGCCAAACTCAATATTAAAATAAAACGAGCGCCATCAACTCACAGTGATTACTGATTATTAATATAAAATTTTAAATCATTTGACAGAGGACGCCTAGGTAACACCAAAGTTTCTTTCCAATTTTTCCAAACCACGAGATCCATAAACAAGGCACAAAGATAGACAATATATCTATACTCTACTATACTAAGCATCGCCAAGCATGTCCAATTTTCGAAAAAAAAAATCAGTAAACCAGAAGTAAGCTCTCGCAGCCGTTACTCAACAATCTCAAGCAGTAATTTACGGAAACCACAAAAATAAGAAGCATAGGGATATGGATGCACAGAAAGACAGACCATTGGGTGTACATATCGAGCACAACGGTTTTATCGCCGGCCGCATTGACGATGGGCCAGAAAGTGTCTTTGTTGACCTCGGTGACCTGGCCGACGGTAGCGCCGGCAGTTTCCAAGCTGGAATTGACCTTGAAGGTCCGATTTCCACCGGAAATACCAATGCTCCGGCTACTAGTGACACTCAAGCTCCTTGAACTGAAGCAGGTGCTCTTTGAGTCGGAAACTGCGGCGATCGGTTGCTTGCCGTTGCACGGCAGAGACGGCGAGGATCTGATCGACGGCGGGGAGAGAGAGAGACGCAGAGCCATGGAAGAGAGAGAGAGAGAGAGAGAGAGAGATTACGAGAAGGTTCAGAAATGGCGGAAGGAGAAGCTCGGATGTTGCGGGACAAGACGTGGATGGAGGAGGTTGATGGAATTACGATTTTACCCTTGTAGTTGGCGGGAGTTTGCCGCGAGTTTTGGGGCTGTTTTGGTCATTTAAAAATGTGGATTGTGGTGGAGAATGGGTAGATGTGAAAAGACTTAAACACGCTTTTTTGTTGGGAGCTGACCGTAAGTTGTGGGGCTATAATTGTAAATGTGTAAATTGTGGGTTGCTTGGCTGAGGGATGGTCTAATGGAATGGGGGAGTCGGAAAAGTTGATAAATAATTAAATTGTCATTCTTCTGGACTTGTGAAAGTACGCTGATGCCCTTGACATATCTGGTTTCAGAGTGAAAAGAAAGGGGCTGCCAAAGGAAACTAGTTTCTTTACGTAGAAGAATATAGGTTAAAATTAATTTTTATGGACTTTTTTGTGCAATTTCTTTGATATTTTAAAAAATACTTATTCATATATGATCCATCATTAATTATTATCTAAGTGTTGGGTTACTAAAGTTCGGTGGCTAATCCACAAGGTCAAACTCCTTACAACAGACGTCAGCGTAGCTTCAATTCAACACATTAGGAGAGATGAAAACGATTTGGCACATGCAATTGCACACTGGATGATGGTTTCGGAGAGTACGCTTTTGTGGGAGGCGTGTTCCCTTGATCAACTTTATCTTTTTTTTTTCCTAAGACAAAATTGTTGGTGGACATTAAGGTATGTTAATGCGTAGAAGTTTACTCGTATGGTTTGTTCACCACTTCTTGGGTGGACAACTTAGAAATGCATTTGTCATAATTTGTTGGTGAAACAAATTTAATTGATGGGAATATGTGTGGTTGTGATTGATTTGTTCAATGTTCGAGGTGTCAGAATTATCAAGACAACTGTTGCATTTCATATTTTGGACATCTCTTCCACATGACAATTGGATTGATTAATTTGTTTAATACTTTTCTGTAAGATCGACAAGTTAATCTATTTTGAAACTACAAAGATATTGAATCAACATTAGAAGGATTGTAGCCGGAGTTTCTTTGTAAATTTTCAAATACAAATAGTTTTGTGAAGTATAATATCTCATTTCTCTTTGTCAGAGGAATTGAGGAATGGGCCCTGAAGTCCGGATTATGGAAGGAG